GTTTGATAATTTCCATTTTCTTAATAGATGTTACTTAAAAGTTTGGTGTAAATTGTACATATTAAATTGTATTTGTGTATGACAACTAGGTCACACCCCCCCCCCCCCCAACTTTCCGTGTCCCCAAGTTTTCCTGTCTGCAACTTTCCTAAACTATTTTCCCATCGGCTTTACTTTAATTTACTTTTGGAATTTTTCCTGGTAAGAATTTTATGATGTTGCGACTTTGCTACTCTCTCTGGAACAACCTACATAATGTTTTTTATTTAAAAAATACTACAGTATTCCTCTCCTATCTCCTTTCACAATACACGTCCAATAAAATTTGCCATCGTTACAGGATATTTTTCTCATAGCTCTATTGAAAAGAAGTTGTGTATTTTTAAAGTAGCATTATGCAACACGAAATCCTTTATTTCGTGACATGATGTGATGTGTCACTGTCTCAACATGTTCCTGATTTGATATTAGGCTACGGTACTGCTGAGTTTTGTTGTCCCTTTTTTTCCTCATTTCCTGGACTGTCGATATTACATTAGAATTTTTTACCTGAGTTCATATCAGATAGTTGTGGGAAGTTATTCTCATCAAGCTGTTGTACATTATTAGACGTTTTATAAAAAGGATGCTACCTTTAGACATTCTATCCTCATGTTAAATTTGTAGCCAAATATTTTATCAAAATTGTCGTGGTCAATGTGAGCCACCAACAGATTGCGCTGATCTAAGTTACTGAATTCTTTTAAATACACAAACTTTCTTATTAATTCTAATCAAGGATATTACTTATGGTGGGGAATAGAACTACTATGATCCATCATCCTGGTCAGCAACAAAAAAATAAGGCAAGCAATAGAATTTTAGACACTACCACATTCTGTGACTAGCTCACACAGCTATGTTATTTTTTTAATAAATACCTCCATCGCAGCCAACCTGCAGACTAAGCGAATCTCCATTTCCCTGATTGGATTTCCAATTAAATCTATTTAAATAGCATTATGTTAAACACAAACCTAGGTATTTTGCTATAGGGAAGGTAATACAGTTTTTTTAGTAGAAGATTAATAGCTTTGTATAAAATAAGTTAATTTGCCAAGTTTAAACAAAATACATAACCGTACACAATTAAACCACAACTTACTTACTCTTAATTTATTCTCCACAAAAATTGTATGGCAATTTTAAATTTAAGATTGTTTTTAAATTTTGTTGTTGACCAAAAACTGTAAAAACCCTGCGATATACAAAATTATTTGTTTTTTAGCTCTAAAAATGGTACTAGGGGGAATTGTAAATGTCTTTTGTTTTGAGGGTCAAAAATGGAAAAAAATTTAATTTTTACCCTATAAGACCCTTCCGTAAAACCGTTGTCCGATCATGCTGGTTCGCCAACTCATTCAAATCAAATCAAAATCTCTTTATTCCTGAATAATTGTTACATGTAATACAAATTGTATATTTACCGGGAAAATAATTCCCAAGTAAACTATTCGTCTGTGTTCAAGTTTTTCCTGCCTTATACCCCAGTTTCATCAAAAATGGACAAATATTACTCAAGTTATCACGTTCACGGACATATCTAAAACATATGTAAAACCTCTGGGGACATCAAAATGAAAAAGTTAGTTCGTCTTAGGCCCAGGTCTTGCTATAAGACCTATGGCAATAGCTACTTCACTGTAGGGAAATTCGCTAAAAAAAGGTCAATATAAATGGGTGAAGAGATCCCATAGTTACTGATGGCAACCAATAGTTATTGATGGAACTCTTCATTGTAAAGAAAAAACATAATATTTTGTTTTTAAATGAGCAAATGTGTAAAAGAAAATCTGATCAGCCGTTACAACTTGGTCAAAATCTGCTGGGAATTGAATGAGTAAACTAGGATACTGGTATTTTATGATCCCTGTATTAATCAACTTTTAACGAAAGCTATCACCATTTTACATCTGTTTACAACAGATAGTCTAATGGTAACAGCTAATACAAAAAATAAAGTTTTACAATAGAAAATGTACAATGTTTTTTTTTTAAGGTTACGGGTTTAATTCAGTACGTGTTTTGGCAGTACTGTAATATACAATGACTCCTCAAATGTAAGAAGGTGTGTACCTTAAGCACTTGTACCTATTTTTTAAACCATAATTTATCTATTTACGTATTTTTGTTTGATAAAATATGCTTTAATTTAATGAATTACAATGTTTAGTAAACTTGGTTTAATGGGAACTGTCTGGTTTTAAGATACAAACATGAGGACGTAGTAGCACTAGTAGAGTGAAGTAGTTTTTACAGTTTTGACTTTAAATTAATTGATTTTACTATTAACACTTTATACTCTGAATTAACACCATATGTTGCGGTAGATAAGCCTTTGCTGTAATAAAGTATTTTCAAGTGTTAAAACTATTAAATTACAAAACTATAATCTAATAAAGTAAATTTGATAAGTAAAAACTTGAACTTTTAAGAAAAATTCAACTTTTTTTTTTTTTACTGAAGTAATCCCATTTTTAGTTTCTTTTTAACAATATATGTTAGTTTAGGTATCATCTTACTGAATAGTTACCTTTATTAATCTCTAAGATTGTTATTATTTACTAAGAATAGTGTTTGATTAATTATAAACAGTAAAATTATTATGAAAAACGAATAATAACTTAAGATATTTCACCAATTAATATATTTTCCATATCAACTACGATTGTAATACTTTTGTAAAATATTTGTACAGTATTTGTAAATAACTCATAATATTATTCAATTTGATTATATTTCAACCATGTTTTCTCATCTTTAGGCTAAAACAATTGATAATTAATATAAAAATTACGTAAAAACAGTTGTTTTTGTTGTTAAAAGTGATTTTTTTTATTTCATATATCAAATTGATTGTATCTGTTAGAGATGTTTTAAACTTTTAAACTGTTAAAGAGTTGTAATTTAATATACATTTTTAGTTTTTCTTCTAAAAATCAGTTTTTGGGTTAGAAAGTCTGATTTATGTGTTTTTTTTACTCATAAAAAATTAATAAGAATTACAAATCAATGAATATATTTTACCTATCTAGTCTTTTTCAATGTTTATATACTATTTATAAGGTAGGCAGAGATTAAATCTGATTACCCCACATTATAAGATAGGTCTATTTTATATTGTAATTTAATTATAAGTATTTTAATCAAAAATTTATAAAATAAACAAAAGTTTAAGCAATGACTTAATTCCTTTATTTATAACCAACATGTTTGTAAATAGCTAATGATAAAATATACTATATTCTAAAATAACTTAGGCCCAAAAGAAATCTACTTACTTATACTACTTATTTACTTATATAATATCTAAAATATGCCTATTAAACATTTACAGCACAAATACCTCCACTGACACTGAACTGAATAAAAGAAACAAGTGTTCAAGAATAGTCAAAGATAAGGAACCAGCTGATAAACACATGACCTCAGACTGACCACTGTTTCATCTCTATAGTGCCACATGCAATACTGAATATAAACTTTTATACTATAAACATGGCATCTTGAACTAAGTATAACCCACTTTTAAGAACATTAAAAAGGTAGGCTGACTTATGTCAAATGAAGCAAATGAATATAATTGTAAAATTTATTATATTATTATAAATGGTTAATTAGAGGTGATATAGACTTATAAGTAAAACTCAATTTAAAACTTATTTTATTATACATTTATTTTATATATACATTTTCAACAACCAAAACAATGAGTTTTAGATTCTGTTTTTCCACATTTATTTTTCAGTCTTTCTGATCTTCTTAAGACAGGAGCTAGAAAAAATTTAAAATAGTTATTAGTTGTTAAATAATTAACTAAACACATTAATAATTAGTAATTAGATAATATTTACTTATTTGAAAGCTTAATAACTTATCCTTTCAATGGGTTTCATAATTAATTACTATTGATTGGTAAATCAATCAGGTATCAGGTTTGTAGATTTTTTAATTAAAATTATTGTATATAATATGAGCCCCCTATAGATCACATTGATCCAAATTAAATTAACATACTAAATTCTATCATATACATAATCTTTTTTACTAAGACAAACTTTAGGAGTGGCTTAATGAGTTATAGCAGCTATTATATGACCCATCAACTTGGTTATCACAGAAAACATATTACTATAACATTATAGTAGTATGTTTTCTGTGCTAGTTATCAACAAAAATAAGGAATATACAGACTGTCCCAAAAGTCCCGGATCGGTTTAATATTTTCCAACCAACAACAGATAAATCAATAAGATTTGGTAAATCAACACCACACCTAAAAATCTACTTTTTAAGGAAATATCAATTTTCTGTCATATCATGGGGACGTCATACAAGGATTTATAAGGAAATCTTAAATAGAAGCATAGGTTGACATGTACATCAAATTAAAGGTTTGTACTAGCAGAATATAATGCTGCAAATTTAAACTTAAATGGACAACCAAGCCAAGAATGACAATGTTTCAAAGATTCATTTAATTAGCATTATTCATTATACGCATACTCCTCAGGGACACAGCCTTAGGAATCGGAAGAAAATTGTTAACGTTAGGTTGATAGGTTGATATGATCAATATGACACATCAAATTAAAGGTCTTCATTAGTAGATAACAATGCCATAAATTCAAGCTTAAAATAGCAACTGAGTAAAAAATGGCAGTCTTTCAAATTGTCAAATGTTGTAGTTTGCTTAATTATGGATATATTTTGATCAAACTTGGTAAATTTATTTATTTTGTACTAAGCTATCAATATTTTACTCAAAAACACACTTTATTAGTTTCCTTGTAGCAGCAAACCTAGGTACTCGTTAAACCTAATGTTATTAAAATATATTTAACTGAAAATCAATTCAGACAAATGGAAATTCGCTTAGTCAGCAGGTTTGCTGCGGCGGGGGTATTTAGGTGTGGTGTTGATGTACCAAATGTTATTGATTTATCTGTTGTCGTTTGGAAAATATTAAACCGGTCCGGGACTTTTGGGACAGTCTATATAATACCAATGTATGTTTGTTTGCTTGTTTGTTTGTTTGTTTGCCCTTTATGGACTCCAAAACCACTAGACAGATTGTAATGAAACTTTCAGGCATTATTAAGCATTATTCAAGGATGGTTTGTGTGAAGTTTGGTGGTTAAAAGGGCTCTACCCCAGTGGTTCTGGAGTTTCCCAAGTTAATCTTATGCGTACATATATTAAAATGGAATCATAGAATCTTAACAGCTGGATCAACTAAACAAAAGAATTCTGTGATGTGCAATAACATTAAAAAGTTAATATGTTTACCAACAGGGTGCAGTAATATTATTTTTTAAATTTATGAAAACAGCTAATTTGTAACCAAAAGGTGAGTGAGCGTAGCGAACAAACTTCAACTTGGAGGAGAGTTAGCGTAGCAAACGAGCTAACCTGAAGGCAAGTGAGAGCAGCGAACGAGCTCCAACCTAAAGGTGAGTGAGCGTAGCAAACAAACTTCGACTAGGACATGATTGAGCCATGTGAACGAGGTCATCTTGAAAATAAACGAGCATTTGACATAAAACCACATTAGGACAGGGCGACGTCTGTCGGGTCAGCTAGTAAGGTATAAAACTTGTAATTAAAACTTTAAAGTGTACTTTGTGACTTTTTCTCACATCTACATTTTTAAGAACAAATTAGTCATAGCTAACCATATAAATAGGAAGTCTTCTTCAGTATCCAATAGTCAATGACATTAGTTAACAACTATAGGAGAAACGTTTATCAATACTTACGATAAAGTTTCTTATATATATTAAGATGCTTCATCCTCCCCTTCTTAATAGTTCGTTTTGCTTGTTCTTGGTTGTTAATTTTGTCTAAAAAATATAAAATAGGTTCAGGTGATATCTAATTAAAATTTATAAAATAAAAACTAAATCCATCAAAAAGTTCTTTTTTATTCAAAGAATAAAAATAAAACAATTTATAAAGTAATATAGCCTAGTTAAAGATTAAAAGGTTTATCGATAAGATTAAACATGTTGTTTTATTTTATATGATTCTAGCCTATCAAGTAACCTGCTTTACTAATTGTAAATTAAATAAATAATTTAAAAGTGTGATTGTTTGGTCACATTAATTTTTACCAACAATCTTATATATTAAAAACTTTGTAAAACCTATGACAGCTTGAAAGATAATTGTCATGTATAAAATCCCTTTATAAGTTAAAATAGGTAAAAATAAGCTTAAAAATTCAGTTAAATTTAAAGAGTCAAGAGTCAAGAGTATTTATTCCATTGATATATAGCAATACAGAAATAGGAATAGTCAAATATTCTTACTAAGTGCTAATACATTAAATTAAAATTAACTAAAAACTATGTACAACAGGTTAAAACTTAACATTAAACTCTGACATTTCGAATTCATCAAACGAATAAAAAGGGTTTTCAACTAGCCAATTTTTTAAAATTTTTTTTAAGTTATTAAATGAGATGAGTTTTGCAGTTTGGGGGAGCCTATTAAAAAACCTAACACAGTTGCCTTTAAAGGATTTACCTGTTTTGGCCAACCAGTGTTGGGGTAGATCCAGCTTAGCCTTGCCTCTCGTGTCATGTGCATGAAAGTGGTCTCTGGTAGTGAATCTGAAAGGTGTAGTTTTGTGTGGATAAGTACTTGGTAGATGTAAAGGTTTATTACTGTCATGATATTTAGTCTAATAAACAATGGTTTACAGTGTTCCACTTCATCCACTCTACACATAGTTCTCAAGATTTTCTTTTGAATTATGAGAATGTCGTGTACAGCACTAGAGTGACCCCACAAAACTATTCCATAACAAATATGTGATTGGACAAAAGAAAAATAAGATATCCTCAAATACTCATCTCTCACACAATCACTAAGTTTCCACATTAAAAAAGACACTCTGGAAATTTTCTTACAACTACCATCTATATGATCATTCCAATCAAGTCTAGAATCCAAATGAAAACCAAGAAGCTTTACTGATTTATAGTTACTTCTACCTGCCATACTTAGCAATAAATCTTAAGTTTTATCATTATTGCAAAGCAACTAATTTGATGCAAACCATATTTTTGCAGAGTTGTAAGCATGATTCATGCTAAAGAAATTATTTTAAGGCTTATGGATCATCACACTGGTAACAAAATAACAGTAAAACATAAACAGAAAATAAAAATGGAGCTAATTGCAATTACATGTTATTTTTATAGTATGGGAGAAAATAGAAAAATTGGTTAGATACATACTTATGGCAAAGTTTTTGACCATAGATTAAGCTTAAGTAAATATCATGTTTTAGCTATTATACGTAGTTAATTTGGTTTTAAATAAAATAAAATATATCAAGAAAATAATGAATGTAGACATTAGCTATTTTTATATTAATATATCAAACGGTGTTGTTTGGATAAATTTTATGATATTAAACTTTTAGTTTGTAATAAATACAATAAAAATAGTTTTGTAAAAAATTATAAATGAATATAAGCTTTTGTATGAATATATAAAACAATTTTATTGGGTAAATATGATATTATTAAATATCTATGTGGCTTTATCAATATATTTTAAAAAGTGAAAATGATTTCCAAATAACTAAAACTATAATTCAAACTCACCCATTTTAGTATTAGAAAATGTTAAACTAAATTAATATGGGATTCTGCTTGTATATATACCTCATAAAATTGCATCACATATTGACGTAAATAAGTGATAAAAGGTTTTTTTGCTGTGTTCAGCTGCAATATGTATTATTGCATGAGGCGAGTACAGAGTTTATCACAAAATTGCTGATTACCACACGAGTATCTCAAGGTCTTATAACAGCTCTATTAATTGGTAAAATATCTGTTTATATATTCAATAAACTAAAGCTCTTGAACAGTTTAAAAGCTTACTCTAATAGATACTATCAATTTTATATATAAAATATAAAATCACTTTTAACAATAAAAACAACTCTTTTTACGTAATTTTTATGGTAATTATCAATTTTTTCAGTCAAAAATGAGAAAAATAGCTAAAATATAATCAAATTGAACAATATTATGAGTTACAAATACAAATACAAAGATTTTACAAAAGTATTAAAATTGTAGTTTATAAGGAAAATATATTATTCGGTGAAATATCTTAAGTTATTATTCGTTTTTCGTAGTAATTTTACTGTTTCTAACTAATCAAACACTATATTAATAAATAATAACAATCTTAGAGATTAATAAAGGTAACTATTCTTAAAACCTAAACTAACATATGTTGTTAAAAAGAAACTAAAAATGGGATTTCTTCAGTAGAAAACAAAACAAAGAGTATAAAATGTTAATAAGTTATACTGTATAATAATTCTTGTAATAAATACGGAGAGTTTTCACAGTAGTCGGGACATTCTTCTAAAATGTCTGCTTTTAGTAGTTGGTTAAAAAGTTGGTCAACTTCCTCTCTTTCTTGGGTACTTTGTTTATATGGGGGTGAGTTTACCGCTTTGTAATTTTGAACTATTTCTAAAGCTACTGGTGGCAAATTAGCTGGTTCTAATTCTTCAATTTTTGCAGTGAACATAGATTTATAATTTTGTAATAAATCTATTACTTTATTGTGCTGTTCTACCGTGGGATGGGGTGATATGATAAACGGTATACCATCTTTATCAAATAATTGCCGTTTATTGGGATCCGTTTGGGATTCATGTTTTATTTGGGCACTCGTAATGTTAGTGTTTATTTCCTCAGTGAGGTAGCCAAGTAGAGTGTTAGAATAAATGTGTTTGGGAAAGCTTGATGCATTGTATAGGTTTATATAGCTATTACCATCAATATCTTTATCAATTAAATATGCGTGGCATTTCTTTTATCCTTTAAAAATCTTTCTGACTCAAAATATGTTTTGTCATTTACTTCAACATTTAATTTGATTTTCCTATGTTGATGAGGTGCAATCACCATATCCTCTTCAGTTCCTATATCAGTAATTTTACTTTTAGGAACTATTGCATTAGTGTTAATAGATTCAATTTGAATTAACCACTGTTTTTGCATTTTTATCCTATGCTTATATTCACCTAAGTTCATGATGATTTCTTTGGTGTCAAAGTTTAGTTAAACTCGGTTTTTATTTAGGAATTTATTACCTTAGATTATTTCACTGTTGGTATAATTTGTTACATAAAATTTGTCTCTGATAATTATGTTGTCTATCTCTAACGCAATCTCTGTTGTCCCTATAATATTTATAGGAGAGTCGTTTGGTGAAACTACAGTTGGTAGCTTTTCGGTCTCAGTTTTATTTCCCGTTAACAAGTTAGAGTTTATCAAATTTATATTTGAGCCTGTGTCTACAATACAGTTAAGTACTTTGTTAGGATTTTAAGTTAACCTAGCATTAAGTGTTAACACTGATAGTCTCTTATCTTCCGTCTGCTGTATCTTAAAAAGAGTATCATGTAGTTCTCTTCTCCTTTAATTCTCATTTTTCCTTGGCTTGTGTACCCTTCCGTCTGAGACTAGTAGTCTAGTCATATTTGAGAAATTACCTAAAAAAACTCTTATAAGTGTAAAGCTTGGTACGCATATTGAGTTTTAATTCCGGAATAACATACTAAAAGTCTTCGAAAAAAGCTTGTGCTACGGCCGCACATAATAGATCCTTGTACCATAATGAGCTCAGAATGGATTATTATGGTAGTCTATCAACGAAAGCACCAACAGTATGTACCATTTAAAATGCCCCAGCAAATATAAATGGAAAGGAAAAGTTTTGTTAATGGTATGAAACTGTTGATAAAATTCCAATTTTTAAATACAAATAATAAAAAACATTTTTAATAGTTTATATAAAACTTTTTTTAATTGCCATTAATGTTTTTTACGAATTTTCTAATTTATTTTCTAAATATTGCATTTTCTGGCTAAACGGTTAGTTATATCGAAATATTCTAAGTACAAAAGTTGTAGCTCTTTCTTTGGCAAACATTTTTTACATTTAATGTTTTTTTAACCAACAAAGCTACCAGGTTTTCCCCACTAGTCATTCAGTACTCACAAAGTACAAAGCCACTGAAGACGACACTGACACAGACGAAGCCCAGGATGGCTCTGCCTACCATGTAGACAGTGAGGGACTCTGTGACAGCTAGGATCAGGCCAAGGGTGATCTGTAGTACCAGGGAGATCATCAGGGCGATCTTACGGCCAAACCTGACACAAACCACCAGTCATACATTAAACATACTTTCTTTTAGACACTGACACAGTTAAAGTTAATTGGATAATTTAAAAAGAGTGTTAAGTTTAATTATTCAATTTCACATTTAATATTACAAAGTGGACAAAGCTGATAGTAGTATTTTCCTTTTGAATACAACAATGAATATAAACCATCTTATCTTCATGACAAAAACTTAAAAAAAATATATTTACTTTTTACCATGTTTTGAACTATACCAATATATGTCAACAAATCTTGAAAAAAAGGTCTATAAATATTTGAAAAAATATGAAATAAAAAATAATAAAATCAAATCAAAATAATAAAATAAGGTTTAATAAAAATAATCCAACAGGGGAACGAGTTTACACAAGCGCCTTACTATATGAGAAACGCCAGGTACACTTTCATGCAGCAACCTTGCCTCATTAATATTGAAGGCTTTCTTCTTTTGTCGCGAAAGAGCAGATTTGCCGGAATATTTTTTTAACACAGTTTAAAGAAACTATTATCTTTTAGTGAAACACAAGTTAAAAACAACAAACTAAAACCAATAAAATCAATTGTATTTAGCTATTATTTTAAAATAGTAAAAACCTGACTTTTAATTCAATAATCAATGTCAATAGGTAGTCGATTTTAATTTCAGATAGTTACTACATAAAACCGGAAACTCTAAATTAACAGGTAAAAACTAAAAATGGTCAAGATTTAAAAAAAAAACTTTAAAATATTATGCAATCTACTCATTCATCAATTGTAAAAGAATTATTCTAACACATTTACAACAGACACAGTACTTAAATGAATTATTGTTTTTAAGTACTACAGTACTTAAAAAAATAGAATAACTATTTGATACGTAGGTAAAAAACAATCAAAGTTGTAAGAAGGGCACCATACCAAAAGGTTATGAGTGCTGATGTATACAATAAAATTCTCTTTATAAACTCAGGGAATTAATTTTTGCTTTCTCCCCTCACACATAGTATTTGGAGAAAGTATTGTTTTTGTCAAATTTTTCGAGTTTGAGTTTTGGGTGGAAATATTCGTTTTGGGTCTCCCTAAACCCAAAAAGTGTTTATCAAAGTGATGTATGTGTTTGCGCAAGGGTGTGTACATGGATACAGACTGGCATTTGTGATTCGATATTGATTATTTCGATATATTATATATTTTAAATATTATATAAAATTGACATTAATACATACTTGAGATGTATAAAATAGATATTAAATATATTTATTCATATGTATTTAATATATATTTGTGCTACTAGGGAAGGTATTTTATATCTTATATATGGATAATCTGACAAAGACCTAACTTAATCTAAGCATATAAACTGTTTTGTCGCATTGCCAATTCAAAAATCCATACTATGCAATTGTCACTTTCATAGAACATATTAATCATACAACACTTATTTTAACAAGCATAACTCATCTGTGCCAGTCCAACCATTGTTGATAATAAAATCAAATCGGCAGCCTCCACCATGTAAACTTGTGGGTTTTGACTTTACTTTAAATGTGAAAATATGAAATTACTACTAAGCTCAGTATACTCGCTTGGCATATGTGTGAATACTCAGGAACTGATTGAACTGACACCATGAATGAGTTACTAAATTTTATTTCACTATTTAGTCTAATTTATAACCCTTTAAAACACAATATATATATACAGGGTGTCCCGGAACTCTCTACCAATATTTTAGGACATTGCTCCTGGGTAAAAAACATACCTAAATATCATATTTAAATTGCCCGGAAGTCCTTAGTTACTCACACAGCCGCCATTTTGTTTTTTTCAGTTATTAATTTTTTTCTAAAGAATGGTTAAACATACGAAATGGAAACTTTGCACAAACATTAATGACAACTAGACAAAGCTACAAAAAAATTATGACGATTTTTCAAATTCATAAAACAAAATGGCGGCCATTTAAAATTTTTATAAAATCAACGGTTTTTGAGCTATTTAAGAAACAACATTTTAAATGGTCGCCATTTTGTTTTATGAATTTGAAAAATCTTCATAATTTTTTTGTAGCTTTGTCTAGTTGTCATTAATGTTTGTGCAAAGTTTCCATTTCGTATGTTTAACCATTCTTTAGAAAACAATGAATAACTGGAAAACACAAAATGGCGGCTGTGTGAGTAACTAAGGAATTCCGGACAATTTAAATATGATATTTAGGTATGTTTCTTATCCAGGAGCAATGCCCTAAAATATTGGTAGAGAGTTCCGGGACACCCTGTATATATAATAATCAATAAATCAAATGATGTATTTACCAGCGCAAATAATATTTTTTGGGACCCCAGTATTAAAAGAGAATTGAACACATTCATATAAGTTTAAAAGTTATAGATATAATACAAATGTGAAACGACTCGATCTTAATTAATTAAACCCTTTTACATAAAAATAAGATATTCATAAAATTTTACTAATCTACATCTTTGCCATTTGGCCAAAGTCCAGTTCACAAAACTTAAAACACAATGCTAATATGAAATTCTGTAAAATTAATACACTTTACAAACAAGGGTTATATTCACATTTAGCAAACTACCAAAATTATACGTTAGAGAATAAAATACTAAATGAGAACTTAATTATATTAAATACATTATTTTACAGGTATAACCTTTAAGGCTATATTGTTGTTGTTTTTATTTAGCAGTAAATTATTTATTTATAATTGTTTATGTTGTTTAATATCATCGATTTATTTAGGTTTTTAATTTTATTTTAAGGTAGGTTTAATTTGAATTGTAGTTATTAAACGTAGGCCCTTTTTATGTAATTTAAATTTATCTTCTTTCTTCAAAAATTTGTTGTCCTGGGAATTTGAATTGAATTTTGACATACCGAGGAGAAGATCTTGAGGGTAGATGATTCCCCGAGGTGACGTCTCGTGATGTCCAGGCCTCCCCTTGTCTCCGTTGTTGGATGACTCGGTGGTTGATACTGGTCCTCGATGGCGGATGACGACCCCCTGGAACCTCTTCTCTCGGCGTGGGCTGAGTAGGTGAAGTAGTTTTGGCCTAGGACGTATTCAGGTGGCAGATTTTACCAATCCTGATATATTAAGTGGGGCCTACTCGATCCGACCCCGTCCTAAGCCTCGCCAATCTTCTTCCAGACTGATGCCATCTTGCTCCTCCTGTCCCTTCATTTTTCCAGATTTCCCATCATTCTAATTAACTCCGCCTACAGTGTCCAATCATAGATGATTCCCTTTGGTGCTCAATGCTGTGATTGGCTGCCACTTCGATCAGCAGTTCACTGTAGACGTCAGGTTGTGCGTACATTGCCCGGGACCTTGAATATGATACTTGTAGACTCGTCGATGCCATTCTACATGTCTCTTTGTATTAGAAAATCGTAATATTTGATTTACTTGAATCAGTAGCAAGTTTTAAATGGGCCTAATACGAATTTTAAAGATATGGGCTTGAATGAAATTTAAGAATTCAATTAAAATATAAACATGTTTACACCCCCCTGTAAACAGGGTTTACAGCTCAGTTTTTTTTGGTGGCTTTTGTTGTTCGTAAGTAGTTTGAACGTCCTTATAGGAGGAATATTTAACACGTAAGAAAAATCATAAGATTTGCTATTTACAATATTTATTTATTTATTTATTTGTTTACGGTATAACACCATTTTTACAGGGTTGACATGCTGATACAGATACATTATTGAAAGATTGAGATTATATGAACGAAAAGTGATAAATGAATGAAGGTGAAATGTGAAATACAATAATTGCTTAGCCTAATTAAATTTTCTTCCCTTCTGCCTTTTCTCATGCTCTTTTACTTTTTTTGTTATTTTGCAGGATTTATTGAAAGGCAGATAGGGACTAACATCACATGCTAATGGAAAAAACTGGTTGAATAGCAAGCATAACAATGGATAGAATTAGGTAACAATAACAATCGATAAATACTACAAGAAAACATGCGACTAGATAACAAGAAAGATAATACATTCATCAATTCAATACTAACATCACATGCTAATAGAAAAAAAAAACTAGTTGAATAGAAAGCATAACAATAGATAGAAATTTGGAAACAATAACAGTCGATAAAATACATCAGGAATATGTGAAAAACAAAACATGTATAATAAATCAGACATTTTTTCACTGTCCCATTTGAGTATTTTAATATTTGTGAAGGTGAAGGATCATCTTGTTATATATTACTTAAGGGTGTAATTATTATTGGTTTGGTTTTGAATTGATTCTACACACAAAACATGTTAATATTTTATGTATTTGTAGTAATTTTCCATTAGCTTAATCTTGCAAACTAAACACTGCATTTGTAATGGTGTAGAAGAAAGTTTATGTTATTTACCTTATGATTTATGTGATAAGAATACTATTCAATTTAACAACACTGCTAAAGCTTACTTGGAAAAAGCATATTTGTGTTTTGTAGGAGCAAGCATTAGAAATGGATTGGTTTGAATTAAAATTATATATTAATACTAATAATATAAGCCTTTACTTGATCAGTGAACTGTTTTTATGTAAAAATACATACATTTCATTAAATTATAATTTATATTAGTGCATGTTGGTTTTTCTTTGACGGTTTATAGCGTAGTCCTTATGTTAATGATGAATTGGCTTGAAATGAAAGGTACTTTCCTGTTAAAGGGAACATTCATTATTATCGATGATTTTTAATCGATATATCGATATTTTTCTTTCCCTTTACAATCCATTACAAATTGACAACTATCTTGTTCAGGCTAAAATCAAGTCTATTATGGATTAAAACAGTTCTAAGCTAACCTAACATAACCAACCAAACTTGCTGTACTATTTAAAAAATTCCGTTTGATTACAGAAAAGGTATGTGGGGAATATTAAACGGAATTTTTAAATGTTACAGCAAGTTTGGTTAGTTTTGCTAGGTTGGTTTGGAACGGTTTCATTTCAATATTTTTTGTTATACTGAACAATATTTATTTATCGTAGTTCTCAGCTGAAAGGTTTCAATTCGTTAATATCGATATATCGATTAAAATCATCGATAATAATGAATGTTCCCTTTAACAGGAAAATACCAAATGAAATTGCATACATCTATCTATCCATCAACAGATTTAACACAGGTTTTATGCAGTATTTACTATGTTACACACTTTTCCAACTGTTTACTTAACCAATTTTACGATTAAGGTGTCATTTACAGATTATGATCTAGTATGCCAGGGATCGCTAATAAAAAAGATGTCCTACTTCCTCAATAATTACTTAGAGGTTTTACGTTTAAATTATATCTAGTAGTCATTTTCAAAGGTTTTCTAAAGCAGGGGTTTCCTAGGTGCGGAACTGGAATGCGGAGAGCAGACTCCTCTTGTCATTAGGTAATTTAATGTTATTGTTTTCCTAGAAGCGGAGCGGAATGCTATATTAATCGCTTTTCCGCTCTCCACACTTTGCTCTTCACACTCCTTTTCTGAGTCTATGAAACCCTGGCATAATACTGACCAACTTTAATTAAGCTTTAATTTAGGCTATTGATCGTTTTTGAATCAGTTAAGCTCAAGACCAAAAATCATAAATTTTATTATTTCTTAGATATTATATTTATTTTAACGATGCAGAGCAACATGGGCTCTTTAGTTAGTTTATGAAAACCTATTTTAAATAGATGTATTATTAACAACTGAAATTTGATTGAGGTGTGTAAATCATGCTTTATAGTATAGAACTAAAATCAAGAAATTAATAGTAAACTTTTCTAATCAAACATAATCTTGAAAAGGTAAGTATGCATTACACTGGATCTATTTCATCTCAGAAACAAATTAAACCAAATGAAATTATACAAATTGCATATGAATGTAAACATTCCAACTGCACTCATCTCATGGATGCCTCTGTGAACACAGTGGCAGACTTCTCTATGGTGCTGTCCCTAGACTCATTTAGCTAGTCGCTCCTTTGTATTTTGTGAAAAAGGAAAGGTTTCAATAGATATATAATAAAATATTAAATTTCCCATTGATGGTATGCTTATAAATGCATTTTTCCAAGAAAGTATAAAATGAGTAGATTTATATTCAAGTTGTATTATATAGGTTTTAAGAAAAACTTATATTTTATGGTTGAGGCAAGAATGAATATGAATAGCCTAAATTAATTGCCAAATTTATTGCCATTCTTGATGAAATTTAATTGAAATATATGCAGTTTAAAATAGTTTTATTTTAGTTTCTCTTCTATCTTCTTTAAACTTATTAATATATAAATGTCTATTTAAGTTTATCTATACTTATTTAATACGCAAGCAGGGTTTTTGTGACAATTACTTCTCCGAAACTACTGAACCGATTGAGATGTTTTTGATGTTATTGGAAAGAGCGTAACTCGAAGTTATGCAGGGAACTTTCTTATTAGATAAATAATTAGAGAGTGATAGTTTTTTTTTCATTTAAATGAAATAAATAGGGTATTTTAATAATATATTTTACATTTTAAACTAAATAAACATATATTTTGTTCTGCCAAAAATAATTAACGACTCCTGTATCACTATAAAAAGTAATAAGATTAGCCTATTTTATATTCTGATTTAATTATGAGTACTTTAACAAGAATTAATAAAATGTGCAAAATTTTTAGCAATGACTTAATTGCTCTATTTACAACCAACATTTTTGCAGGTGGTAAACAATAAAACAATACACAACAACAACAAACAAAACAACAAAATACACAAACAATACACTATACACTAAAATAACTTAGGTCTGAAAGAAATCTACTTACACAATATCTAAAATATGCCTACCTATTAAAGATTCATAGCACAAATAACTCCATTGAGACACATCTGGTTAATCAAGAGTTTACCATTATTGTATGTGATTGTACTAAACACAATAGGGACAAACTGAACTGAAAAACTGAATGGAGGGAACAATTGTTCAAGAATAGTCAAAGATAAGGAACCAGCTGATAAAGAGACAATCACATGACCTTAAACTGACCACTGTTTTATCTCTATAGTTTCCAACCATATGCAATACTGAATATAGACATAGACTTTTGTACTATGGACATGGCATCATGAACTAAGTGCAACCCACTTTCAAGGACATTAAAAGCAGCTTATAACCAGTGCATTTCAATGATAAAAAAATATATTTCTAATAGGCTTTATAGATTACCCATAATATTGATGGTGATTCTGCAAATACGCCGATCAAATATTTGTTTAATGCACTTAATATTGTTTAATAAGCACTCTAATGCAGGATTTTAATACTATTATTGATGAATCATTCAAATTTACTCAACTTTAAAAGATATAAAACCTTAATAGTAGAAAATATACTATTATAAGCAAATTAATGTAATTGCAAATATAGCATATTGCTATAAATGGTTAATTAGAGGTGATATGGATTTATAAGTAAAACTCAATGTTAAATTATTTTGTATTACTATGTTTATTTTTTAATCTTGTTGACCTTCTTAGGATGGGAGCTGTAAAAAATCAAAAATAATTGTCAGTTGTTAAATAATTAACCAAACACATTAATAATTAGTAATTAGATAGCGTATAACTTATCCTATCAACGGGCTTCCTAATTACTAATGATTGATAAATCTTGGGTATTAGGTTTTATGCTTTTGTTTGAGGCTTTGACCTCTTGTCATTTGTTTGTACTTATCTTCTGAGCCTCTGGATGTAATTAGCAAGAGGCTTAGGAAATGAATACTTGTACTCAATACTTCCTCATTATGTAAAAGACTTTTTGTTTCATTATCAAGTGTAAAGCTACTGTAGGATTTTGATGTTCTAGTGACTATAATATCTGTTAAGTATAAATTCATGCAAAATATATAAGCACTAATATTAAAAAAATTTGTATTTGTTATTAATAAAAGAAGAATATTAAATGATTTATAACATAAAAATAACAAGTTAAATGATCAAAAGCAAATGGATTAGTTTTTAATATAAAATAGCGCCAATTTATTTTTAATCAGGATTATGAAGCTGATAGTTAGTTGATACAATTGACAACTAATTTAATTGGTAACTAAAAATTGGTTTTTAAATACCTTGATTTTATAAAGATATTTATTCCAAATCGGGTATAAGGAATATACTCAAGAAGTAAT